TGTGAACTTGATCCAGCAACAGTTCTTTCATTATCAACAAATTCTCTTCTTTTCCAGTTGTCAAATAACTTATCTTGACGAGAATACATTCTTATGAAGTTATGTACTGTACAACATGTTGTGGGAATGTATTTCTATGTAGTTAAGGGATATGGAGACATTAGCTTCAGAATGAAAAAATGAGCCTTTAGAACTCTAAAACAACGCTCTATCACATTTCAAAGTGAAGAGTGCCGATGATTGAATAGTTCTTCTTTACCAGTTGGTTGTCGACCCCTACCTCTATAATCACGCAAGTAATATCTCTCACCACGATACGGGGACAGAAAATCAAGCATGTTTGTGTAGCCCAAATCCACAACATAATATTTATCCTTTGCCGGCATTGGAAACTTGTTGGCCGGATTAGCAACACACTCAGCAAATATTCTTGAGTCATGAGCAGTACCCTCCCACCCACTCATCACAAATATAAAGCGCATGTCAAAGGAACATGCACACATTACATTCTGAGTTGGTACAATACACTTTCCACGGTATGGTATCTGAGAATATGTTGGACCACATGCATCAACGTGGGTGCCATCAATGGCACCAACACAATTCTTCAAAAAAAAAAAGAAAAACACATGAATGACATTGAAAGTAGTATTTTGTTACAACATATATTGCAAATTACTGTCACTTACCTTAAAGAAAGGGTAACATCTTGTGTTGAAACGAATCTGAGGTTAAACCATACTAAAATCGGGAGGGCTGATAATATCAACTCCAAGCCTACAAACTATTTTTAGAACACGATTAAAGTATTTGGAAATGGTCTCACCCGAATGCTGAAACCTTTCAGCTACTATGTGATGTCGTTCATTATGTGATATTGTAAATAAAAATATAGCAACTTGTTCTTGCACAGTTACAAACCTAGAGTGTTTCAACATTTTTTCTTTTAATGTCTCACACAACAACACGAACACAGGTGTGTTCATTCTAAATTTCTCATAGCACCTACTTTCATGTCCATGTAATAGCTACATCACGTAATCATGTCCTTTAAAAGCAGACGTTCTACATGGTCGTTGTGATGTATTGTAACTATCTAATTCTATTGCAGTCAATACAATAGACACATCATCATCACTATCTAATATCATATCAAATTCTTCATCTAAATTCATTACTGAATATTCAAGTCTACCTGTAATATTCATACATAATGCACTTATTAGACATTTATCACAACACATTATAAATACTCATAATAATTAAACTTCAATCCAAAAGTACGCATCATACCAAAGTCCACATACTCCAAAAGTAAACATAATACCAAAGTCCACATACTCCAAATCCTACACATAATACCAAAGTACAAATAATCTCAAAGTACACATCCAAAATGCTAGGCTAAAGTACAACCATCACAGGTTAGTAACAAAATCCTTCTTCCTGTGATCTGGCATAAAAAAGAACATCTTCCTATAGCTCATATCATCTCCAAAAATCTTAATGATCTTTGTGTATGAAGCTGCATCAATGTCTTCGTGAGAATTCAAAGTAGCCAAACATTTTTCTAATAGATCATTAGTATGTGTAATAGCCTCACTATCACCACATAAAGTCGTCATCATAGACGCACTGGACATCTTATAATCAATAGACTTTAACTTTTTCTTTGAACTCTCAACCAACACATTAAGGGCAGATGTAAGTGCTAGGCTGTAGTTATCCTTCTTCCTATGACGACTGCTTGTCGGAGTGGTAGACCTACTTCGAGGATGGTTATTTGTCTCTTTTTTCACATTTTCCTCACCATCATCAACCTCAAGTGATCGATCAAAGGTAGTGTCTTTATCTTCTTCATTGTCCGATGGAGGTTGGGTGGATGGATGAGCATTATCATTGGTTGCATTTGTCTTTTCATAAATCCTACACAACTTCTAATAAAGTGGACACCTTTTTTTCCTGAATTGTCTTGTATGCTTATTAACTTATATTAAACGAAAATAATGAAAGGTAATCAATACGTATTAACCTAAAACCATTTGACATAATGGTTAAAAAAATATGGATAGTAATCAATACTACATCCTACCTTGCATAAATCCTTCCAAGCCTCATCCTTCAAGACAATGGTTTTCTTCACGGGGTCCCAACCAACTCCAGTATGATCCAACAGTTCCTTGCAGGCATGGTAAATTGGTCTCAAATTATTAAACTTCCTCCATAGTTGTTAATACATGTAGTTGTACCCCGTGCTTAATGTTATGTTTCTTACAAGATTTTTGCACCCAACTTTGGTAAATGTAGTATTTGGTCTATGCTCCGCTGCTACTTCCCTATCCATCAAGTCAATGAAAAGTGCATCCTTATCGGATGTCCATATTGCTACATTTTTTGTCATTGCCAACCTCTACAACCTCATCATTTTGAGTTTGTTCGTTACCCGTTTCCATCTACAATAATTTTGTCAATTATAGTAACAACTTCCCAACCACTACACATAACCATACTAACAATTCACAAATGAAACATGGATACATCATCATCCTAATATGAGCATCATTTAGTACAATAAAATTTAATACGAAAATATTATTTAATACATGGTTGGTCACAAAAGTGGGCAAAAGAATTTTTTTCAAATCATTAAAAACAAGTACATCAATTGATTAGGTCAAGTAGCAGAAAGCAGCAAGCTAGCTAATTAGTTAAATCATATATGTAATAATGACTAAATAGCTAAATCAGTAAATTAACAGAATTAATTACAAAGGGGTCACTAACTAAATAGAATTTGCAATATACTGAGATATCAAATGAGGAATGTTAGAGCTAAAATTCAAGGTGATGAGGTTGGGAGAGATTTTTTACAGCAGTTGGGGGTACCTTGTCATGTTATACCTAAAGTGATTTCGGTATGCTGGAGTTTTCCAGAAAATGGTTGTTTAAAATTGAATATAGCTGCCTTCTTTTTTCTATGGTGAATGTACTAACATGGAGGCTGAGTTTAGAGCCCTTTTGAATGGTTTGGAGTTAGTTGAAAGGTATGGATTGTTTGAATACAAAATACTTATAGAATCTGATCCATTGGTGCTGGTGCAGTCTGTTATGGGCACTTTTGGTTGTGCATGGTTCTGCTAGAGGTTTTTGTCCTAGATTAGAGAGAAGATTGGTAGGATGGAGTTTCAACTAAGACATGTTTTCAGAGAAGCAAACTCTGTAGAAGACAAGTTGGCTAATAAGAAAACGATTAGCACATTTATAAGAAAAATGTAGTCATGAGTAAATGCTGATTTCTTTTTGAAGCTAATGCTTTGACCATGAAGTAATACTTGTGGTACAGTTATTTAGATTCAATGAATGTTCATATTGGTGAACAAATAATGCCTAAATGATTTTATAGTGATTTCAAAGGGAAGTTGCAATTATGTCAAGAAAATATTGGCCACCTTATACTTTTTCTTTTGCAATTTCTGATAGAAAGCCATTTTAAAGAAGCTTTTCAATGTCATGAAACGCTGCAATATTGCATAAATGCCAAAACCTGCAAGTGTTACATATTTTGTGCCTAGCTAGAATCCTAACATCTCATTATCAGAGACACTAATGGTGCAATAAATTATATGTTAGTATGTTAGATACCAGAAAATGTTTTTTAAGATTGTGAGAGCACATATGCATGATTTAAATGGAGATATGAATTTAAATACAACACAATGATCAGACAGTTTATGTTTATGACATCGAAGTCTTGATGAGCTATGCTTCAAAAGGTGAGGCACTTTACTGCTTCATACATCAAGGTGGAATCACCAGTGAAACACGGATGATTTACGATTTATTTAGTCAACATACAACCTTCACTGACCTAGTAATGGCACGCATTTTCAATTATAGTCAAAATATTTACATGACTGGTTTTTCGATCTTCTTGTTATTTACGGCTTCAAAGGTGTCACAATGATCATTCTCATCACCCTGTGTATGATGATGATGCAACCGTCATGATACCTATTTTTCCCATGTTCTCTAATATTCCTTTCACAAAAGCCTATTATTGCCTCACACATCAAGATGGAAGCATTAGTAAAACTCTAGATGATGTATAATTTTTTTTAATTGACAGAAAATCTTTCCTCAAATTATATACAGCCACCTACCTAAACCACATAGAACCAAAATAATCAAAGCACAAAATCGTGATTTATCATCAAAACAAATATCAATGTGCTCTGTAAAACCCTAATGATAAATCAATAATGAAATCTACATACAAATATACAGATCTATGTATATTGTGTTAAAAAATATAGATAAAACAAAAAAAATACGAATAAGGTCTATGATGTACAGATTTATGTAAATTTATGCATATATATACAGATCTATGTATATATATACATATATCTATACAAGTAAAGGGGCTACACTTACATTTTTCGTCTTTGTCGATTTGTGAGTGGAAGAGAGAGAGTTGCATAGAGAGCTCCGGAGAAGAGAGACGTACCGAGAGACATAAGCGGAGAGAGAGTCGTTGCTCTTACCTTCACAGAAGAGAGAGAGAGAGAGAGAGAGAGAGAAGGGTTGAGACAAGAGAGGGGCTGATCTGTGAGAAGGAAAAAAAAAGACCTCATATTTATACTCTCTCATATAAAGTGGAATTTTGTGGCTAAAAATACTCGAAAGTGAGACCTCATTTAAATAAAAAAAACGCGTGTTTTGTCTTTCACGTGTTTTCTAGAATAAAAATTTTTTATTCCCATTTTTTTTGTCTCTGTCTCCAAAACAATTAATATAAAATAAAAACAAAAACATAAAATACAAGACAAAAACAAATACCAAACAACTCTTAAGTTCTTATATCAAGTTCAATTCACTATCCATGCTGTAATATTGATGGAAGCATGGGTAAGTTCAATAATATGGGGTAGTGCCAGTGGCGACTGTGACTGGTACACTACTACGTTAAGAAGGAAAATAAAGAAAAAATGAATCATTCACTAGACGTAATAAAACAAACCCATATCTGCAAATTAGAAGTATTGCAAAGAATGATTACAAAATCTACATTCTTATGGTAATTAAATCATACAAACACTTGCACAATCTACACTACTGTGTCTACATTATTGAATTGTGGTTTGTACCCATTTACCCCCAAAAACTCTCAGTTTACACCCCGTAAAAAAGAATTTTAAAGAATGGAAAGAAAGAAAAACTAGGGCATTACAAAAAGATTAATGGCCCATGGCACGTCCTAGTGAAAAATGTTCAGTTATTCCGGTTGCTAAAAATTCTCCGAAATTCTGAACCTTTTCAGCAAAGAACCTTAAAAATTCCAAAGAAATGAACCTTGGGACGAAAATGTATAACCGTTGTCTTCTCCATCATCAACAATTGGTGGTAAANAAATTCTGAACCTTTTCAGCAAAGAACCTTAAAAATTCCAAAGAAATGAACCTTGGGGCGAAAATGTATAACCGTTGTCTTCTCCATCATCAACAATTGGTGGTAAAGGTGGTAAGAAAAAATCACTTGATAGATCATCGAAACCCGGAAAGATACCAAAATCCGAGAAATTACTACCCTGATCCATCATCGAAAATTGATCCAAAAATGTTGTGTTCAGTTCTAATGTCATCAAGTCACTGTCCAATCTCACTGTCCCATCCGAAATCGAAGGAGATGGATACTCCGTATTCACTTCAGAGGACGATGACGCATTGTCCGAATCACTCATTCGGGGCTCCGAATGATCTGAATTGGCGAACCTGGCCGCAGCAGATTGAATTTCTGCCGGAGAAAGTGAGCGGCCGCCCAGAATGTCTGGGGGGTTGTCGGGGAAGTTGAACTTCGCCGTACGGCCACGTAAGCAAAAAAGTGCAGCGTCGAACGCTCTGGCCGCCTTCTCCGGCGTATCGTAAGAGCCTAGCCAAATCCTTTCCCTGCTATTGGGTAGTCGGATCTCGGACACATATTTGCCCCATTTTCGCTTCCTCACACCCTTGTATTTTGAGTCACTTCTCTCAGCTGGTTTTGCAGAGACTGGTTTCACCATAATCAACGGCAGGCAATTAGGGTAACTCTTTTGATTCCTTTTTCCTGAGGTGGAGTGATAAGACTGATCAGATGGGTACCGATTGGTAAAAAGTAACAAGTGGGTTCTGATTCTTCTATTTGTTTTGTGTTGTGGGGGAGAGTTATAGGATCTGATGTTGGATTTGTTGGTTGTTGCTGATGAAGAACGAGAAATGGCGGCTCTGTATTTATACGTGTGTGCGAGTGAGTTCCGAGTGATGATAGAGAAAATAGCAGTCAACGGCCGCGTTGAGACTGTGTGAAGAAGGGGGGACACGTGGCTACTTAAAATGGGAGTAGAGAGTAAGGTTACGCGGTGCTTATTTCTGTTGAGTTATTAGAAGCACGTGTGTCCAGCCTTGGCAGGTGTTTATGTTTCTTTAAGGGACCTTTCGGGATGAAGATTAAAAGCACGCTAGACGTTAAAATTTTTTTTTTTTTAATTTATTTATTAATGCACTTTTAACAAATTATATTATATTAAATTCGAGTAGTGCTGTATATTTTTTTTATTAGTTATAATTATATTTAATTTATTTATTAATTATATCGTGTAAGATCCACTTATTTATTAAATAAGTGTTTGTTTAAAGAAGACTCAAATATTTTAATTTTATATCGTGTCAACTCCACAATAAATATAATTACTAAAAAAAGTTGTCGTTATAACTAGTTTATACCACTTGGTTCAAAATAAAAAATAAAAAACTAGTTTGTACCCCTACTCTTTTTCTTTCTTTTTTTTTTGTATGCACCACTTCCACGTTTGTATTATTCCACTTTTACTTTCTTTCTTTTTTTTCGTTTAATAAGGTTTTGTATCTTATAAAGTTCAAAATTCATCGCACTAATAATATTTTAATTTTGTAAGTACAAGCTTGTATGGGTTTAGGAAAAAAGTATGGCTCACTATATTCTTATAGATCCTCCTTGTGTAATGCCATCTGACAGTGAACATTTAGAACTTTTGTGATAAACTTGGAGGTGGTGGTTGTAAGGGTGAATGTAATGGTGGTAATAAAACAATAGTGGTGGTGGCGATAATACAATGCTGGTAGTAGTAGCGGTGACAACTCAATGGTGGTGGTGGCGCTATCAGGAGTAGCAGCCAGCCTGGTACGTGTGATATTTCGATCACCAAACTCACACACGCACACTTGCATCATGCTTGAGCTCCTAGGATTTTACGTTAACGTTACGTCAGTATGAGTATCAGGACGGGAGGTAGGTGCCCCACTACCAGNGGATTTTACGTTAACGTTACGTCAGTATGAGTATCAGGACGGGAGGTAGGTGCCCCACTACCAGAGCTACTGTTTCTGTTTTATTAATCAGCACCCGAATTTTGAAATCTTTTAAACTACCACGTTTTATTTTCCTCTTATTCAGGTCAAGTCTGGAATGTCTGATATTCATTTTATATTCCGCCAACATATTAATTTACAAATCCATGGGTTATCCTCAGTATAAGTACAATGTTTTTTTAAGGTTTTCATATTCTCTTAAGGGTAAGTTTCATCTATTATGCATCAGTATGGTGGTTTAAATCGTTTCAAATATTTTGACTCAAGTTTAAGTTTGAAAGAATAGTCGACATAAACTTAATAACTTAAGTGTAGCTGATGATAGAATTTCATAATTAATGCTCGTATTATGGAATTCTGCATAAAAAAGTATATACAACAAGGGCGGAGCCCGGTCATGTTTTGTAATGGGGACAATTTAAACTGTATGAATATTCAAACTCCAAATATTCATAAAAATATAATTACATTCAAAGAATGTCAATTAAAGACACAAGTATTATACACGAGCATTTTTAAAAGCGTTGAATTAAACTCCAAATGTTCTCAAACATCTAATAAATGTTTATAATTTTTCACCATGAGTTTTCATACATTAAAAGCATTGAATGATCGTTTCATTATCATTGAAATTTGAAATTTCTTTCTCCACGCGTGCTACCAAAGTCCCAATATCACCTAAAAATAGCAAAGAATTTTCAACATGCAATTATAAGTCCCAATAACCAAAGAATTTAAATAGACTTTCAATCCAAGCAGATCGAATTATTTTTTGTCCTCCTCCACCTTCAATTTCCAACCGATGTTACAATTACAAATAATTTTTGAAAAAATCAATAAACTGCATATTGAAATCATAGTTGCCCAAGTGAAATTTGAAAAATCTAAGCTCAATTGTCTACTATTGGGAAAAAAAAATTAGTTGGACAAGTTATCTAAAAAATCAACTATCGCCCAAAAAATTAAAAAAAAATTACAAAAGCTATCAAAATCGAATGTTCTCCTTATGGTATGGGCTCTAAATCTATTAAAGACCCCACTTGTAATGAAGAATACAAAACCTCCTTTAGTCTTTCCAAAAAACTTTAACTGGGGTAACTTCCAAACAATTCTAAAACTTTTTGAAAATTATACATATACCCCAAACATTTTTAAAATTCCAACTGCCCCCATTGTGGATTTGCCCCTGTATACCCATATCGTTTTAAAATTCGGGTACAAAGTTAATGTATGCTAAAATTAAGACATGTTTGAAAAAAAATACAATCATTTTTGAGTATATATGGTTAGTTCCAGGTTATAGGATGTATACTATTATTTGATGCCAATGATTGTTCAGGCAGGTCGATGTCGTGCTAATTTTAGGCACAGAGTGTATATTATTATCCGATGCCAATGATAGTCCAGGCAGGTCGATATCGAGCTAATTAATGCCTAAAATTTTGATTCAGAATGAGCCTTCCAATCCAAAGTGAATACAAAAAAGTTACCCCTTCATACATACTTATGCATATTCGGATTTTTTATTTCTTATTTTTTTTTGTTTTTGGTTCAATGGTTCAAAATATTTGGATCAATTTACATTTAACTTGATTAATTTTTTCTCTGGTTCAATCAAAAGTAGGTCATCTATATCGAGACTAGGATATTTATGAGAGATATATTCCTAGTCCTACAGAATTCTCAAATTTCAAACTCAAGACGTCTAAATTTATAACTCAGTCTCTGTTATTATTTGAATTAGGTTGGAGCTATGTTTTTCATTTCACCTCGCTGAAACTTGAATTATAAGTTGCCAAAATTGGAGCCTCGTTTGTAGAATTTGCTCGAGTTTTGTCGGTTCAATGAACATTGTTTTGGTCTTTAATTCTTTTGCTAGAATCTGAGTAACTCTCTCTCTCTCTCTCTCTCTCTCTCTCTCTCTTACACAAACAGATATACAAATAACATCATGCATTTGCTCCTACGATCTGCGTCAGTCAGCCCAGTCAACTCGGTTTCTTCCATCCCAAATCCCATGCTTAACCAAAATGAAGACAGAAGAACCTTCAAAGTTAGGCACTAGACCACCTTCGATTCTCTTAATAAATCTGTAATCTGCCAGTAGAAAAAAAAAAGGCTTAAATTTGTGTTTGACCCAAACTTTGAACTCCATTAAAAACTTCAGATACACATGTTTCATACCCATATTTATTTCTGTCAAACATTTTCTTTTCTTTTCTTGTGATGCGTAGGAAAAGAAAATTCCTTAAGCCTTTGGTCACGTAGGAGACGCAGGTGCCTACTGGCTATCTGCTTGGAAACAAGAGTGAAAGAGCTTCGGCTCCTTGTCCAACTTCTACAGAATTCTCTGCATACCATTCAATCACTGATACATGCATGACGTTTGTATTAATTTACCTAATTAATAGTAACTTTGGCAACAAAATTTCCCATTATTTGCTGTTGCTTTCTGAAATTTCAAACTCTAGTTTGATCTTTTCATTTGTTTTGGGGTATTTTTTTTTTTTTCAACTGTTAGAATTGTCGAGATTAATTTATTTGCACTTTGATTAATTATCTCCCAGTCCAATCAGAGAGAGTCTATCTACACCAGAATTAGGGTATTCATGAAAAACAATTCTCTCATAATTTGACTTCGAAGAGTTGTCAAGATTTGAACTTACAAAATCCGAATTTGTTTTGGGGTATTTACTGTTTACCGAAAGAGAAAAAAAAAGTGGGCAACAAGTCCATAATTATTTTTTTTCCCTTTAATTTTGTTGGAACTTGATCTGAATATAATTAGAAATAAACATCAATCCAAAAAATTCTATAAACATGAAATTGAGGAGAATTATCACACTTACCTCGAACATTGTTCAAATGAAAATAACAATAAATTTCATATCGCAAATAAAGTACTTAACTTGGGTTGAGGCGTAGACTATATCGCGTCTCTGCAAATAATATGTCTGGTGTAATAGATCACAACATGCCACCTCCAGTATACAAGAGTCCAGCTACTCACCGTAACTTCTCTTAATTTACACAACTTTGAGAAATAGAAACTTCATATACATTTTTTTTTGCCCAAAATAATATAAAACAATGTACACCACCAAAATACAAGAAGAAGACATATATACTTCATACCTCGTCACTCACACAATAGAACATTTATATAGGTGTATGAAATATATAATTCATTACCCAAAATAATTGATCCATTAACTCACATAATAAAATTTAATTATTTTGGTCTTTGTAATTTATTAACCAAATTTAATATAATGCTCACAAAATTATTCTCACAATGAATATAACATATGTAACTTACGGACCACTAACTCTTTACCATTATAATTTTCATTATATAGATACTAATGGTTATACTTGTAGCTCGTATTGCTTATAAAAATATAAATAAATTTGTATAATCAAGTTAAAATGAAGATACAAATAAAAGTAAAATTATTGCAATCTAAATTAGATAAATAATAAAGACTACTTTATTAAAATATTCCAACAAATTTTGATTAGAAACATAACCTATATACTGAAAAAAATTGAAGATGTTTTGTATTTCAACCTCTAAAGGAGAGAATTTGAAAATTGATTGGTGGATACGAGTTCANGTTTGGTATTTCAACCTCTAAAGGAGAGAATTTGAAAATTGATTGGTGGATACGAGTTCAGGCTTTGACAGATATAAGATTATGTAAAACGTATGACATCTATAACTTTGAACTAATTAGTGGCAAATCAAGAGTTCTCTTAACCATAAATCCCATAATTGAGATGCTTGGCCAAAGTAGGGGTGATCAAATTTCTGATTACTCGCAAACTC